CTCTTGTGACCACGAGCAACGCAGCAAGTCTGTTTTCTTTACGTTCCTGCAGCTGTCGCCATGCTATTTAGAAAAGTCCCCTGCTGCCTGCTTACCTTTAAAAGTCTTTTCCTAATGTTCCTTAGGAGACTACGTTGTTCTCCAATCATTTCTAGCACGTTGTCATTGCTTATTTTTCTTGTCCATGATATCCACGACTCGCATCAGTAAGACAGGCCATACATAACACCGAATGATTTTTTTCCTTGTGTTGATTAAGAGGTTCTTGTTCGTTACCAGGTTTTTATTCATCTGCGAATGCCCTCTTAGTCATAACCATTCTCTTTCTAATTTCGTGGTCTCACCACGCATCGTGGTGTTTCTATGTTCTTACTGAAGGTAAAGATTGGTTTTCTTTTTATATACTGTTAAGCCTCGCTTTTCACTTTCAATCTTTACTCCCTGTAAAAGTTTATGTGGTTCTACATGTCCTACGTTAGTTATTTCGTGTCCATTAACTTAAAATGATGTTCTGGTTTTAATTCTACATATTAACATTACTGAAATGGCAGCCACGTGATTCTAATATAGGTTGGTTCCCGTCAATCTTCAGAGCTTTAAGATTTACTATTTTGTGATGTTTAACTATGACACAGTCATTCTGTGTCTCAATTGTTTTTTTTTTTTTTGTTTTTTTTTTTACTCAGCATTCGTTTCTTGTACCTTTTTCTTTTGCGGAAACCGAATTGTTCTCCGCCAGTTTCCGGAGAGATGTTGCTTCTCACTTTTGTCATTATCACACGCAGGATTATTTTGGTGGTGTGGCTCATGACACTGATAAATTGTCATAGATCTTGTTAGTAAGTTTGCCTATCTCTTTAGTGCCAAATCCTTACCTAATTCTATCATTTCTCTCATTATTTTGTCATTGCGACCAGTCTTATCATTTTTAATTTATTGCACTTCTTATTCCAGATTGCAGGATGTGTGCAACTTCAAGTCCTTCTGATTGGTCTAATACTGGCGCCTATCATTCTTTACTCTCTTCGTTAAAATCTGTCCATCTTGTCTGTATTTGTTCTTTTCCAAAAATGATCAGCTCTGTGTTGGTTCGTTTATTTGATTTCTTGGTCATATGTTTTATTCTTGAGCATATATAGGCACACACACATATATAATTGTATATGTAAATATCTGAATATATACAAAAGTGTGTGTGTATGTATATATATATGTATGTGTGTGTGTGTGTGTGTGTGTGTGTGTATGTATGTATGTATATTTATATATATACATATGTGTACACAGACACACACGCACACACACGCACACACACACACACACACACACACAAATGCACACACACATATATATATATACACATATACATATATACATATACATATATAAAAAAATAATAATTTCTGTAAATAATCTTTATGAAGAGGAATAAGGAAAAAGTAGAGCTTGGGCTTTTTTCAACGGTTAAAGTGCAGCAATCTTCTGCCTTTTCGAAATCACGTCCACAGGTTGCCGGAACGTGACAGAACGTAAAACGATTTGATGCTAAACTTATTTCTGACTGCTGTTATCCTTTTTATCCTCCTGATAAACTCAATGATAAAGGTTTTCGTATTCATCTACATATCTTGCAACATGAACAAGACAGAAGAGAGAGAGAGAGAATATTTATGCATAACACACACACACATACACACACACACACACACACACACGCATACATACACACGCGCACCCCCCCCACACACACACACACATACACACACGCGCACACACACACCACATCACACACAAACAATAGATATGTATGTACATATTAATGTATCTACAGAAAACGACAACCCTCGACATGAGTTCCAGTTTGGTTACTCATAACCGAATGCAGTTCTGACTATTTCTGCTTTAGATTAGTCTCGCCTTTGTCTAAAGATAATCCCTTGAAAGCCACACCGTGACCAGATCTATTCATAGGTCGGCTGTTCATGGGTGTGGCGGACGGCAAAATATTTAGAATCAAATAAAATTCTAAAGTGTTTGTAGGGGTAAAGTTTTTTTGGGTCAAATATCTAGATTCGCACACGAGGGCCATAATGATATTGGCAATAAATATAGAAAGAGTAATGATGAAATACAATAACTATGACACTTGACAGAATACTAATAATACCAGTTCGTCTATCATTACAGTAATAATTGATAGATGAAAAATATGACAAAAGAAGATGGTAATGGTCATAATAATGTACCTCGAAGGATTGGATAGGAGTATGCCCTTCTAGCTTTCAAAGAGAGAATCCTGTTCACGCTGTTTCTCGAGGTAGTGGTAATGGTGGTGATGATGGTGAAAGTGATGATGACGATGGAGGCGATGGTAATGATGATAATCATGATGACAATGATGATCATGATGATAAGGGTGATGAGGATAATGGTAATAACAAGAGTAACAATAATAATAAGAAAGATGATCATGATATCATTTATATTGATAAAAATAACA